GAGGGTCGGGTCCCCGGGTGTTTTGGGGAGAAAGGTGGCTGTGTACACACGTTCAGGAGTCTCCGCCTTCCTCCGGTGTCTGGTCAAGTCGAGCCATTGACATCCGCTAGGTCCTCTACAGGTCCTCGGCATCTTGCTGCTGTGATGCTCCAGCAAGGGAATGAATCCCTTGCCTGTTTGCGTAAGTTTCTATCTGTTGCAATCAAGGCGAAGACTCCGTTTTTAGTAAGCAGTTGGAGGGTGTACACACGTTCAGGAGTCTCCGCCTTCCTCCGGTGTCTGGTCAAGTCGAGCCATTGACATCCGCTAGGTCCTCTACAGGTCCTCGGCATCTTGCTGCTGTGATGCTCCAGCAAGGGAATGAATCCCTTGCCTGTTTGCGTAAGTTTCTATCTGTTGCAATCAAGGCGAAGACTCCGTTTTTAGTAAGCAGTTGGAGGGTGGAAAGGAAGAGGTGCATCTGCTAAGTCTCCTTTTTAAGTTGCTCTGTTTATAAGCATTGATCAACAGACAAATTCATGCCATAGCTTTTTTGTTCTGGCTGTTTTCTTGTATGAGAGATGGCTTTCTTACCTATTGGTAGTGGCTCTAAAGCCTTTTCTGTGTTCTTTTCGGCTTTCGTGCCACTCTCTTCTGACGTGTCACTCCTGGTTACCTTTAGGTGTTTCCATGACGGCAACTAATAATTTTGGGTATTGACTTGCTCTAAAGAATTGGGTTCAAACTGACTAAAACATGGCCTGGAAGTGAATTACTGCTATATTAGAAGTCTAGAAAATTAGTGACAAGGTGCAGATACACTTCTTGTCTCTCTCTCTCTTTCAAACTTTGTTTACACCTATTGGAGACAGCATCTCATGGTCTCGCACACCATCCTTGTCTCTAAATTGGAAAAATACAGGTTTAATGGATGAACTATTCAATGGATAAGGAACTGGCTGGATAGCTGCATCCAAAGACTTGCACTCAATGTGTCGATATTGAAATAGAGATCAGTAACAAGACATGTCCCTCAGGGGTCTGCAGTAGGACTGATGCTGGTCCATATCTTTATTAATGACATAGTGGGATTGAGTGTACTCTCAATAAGTTTGCAGGTGACGCCAAGCACAGCGGTGCAGCTGATATGCTTGAGGGAAGGGATGCAGCCAGAGGCACCTTGACAGGCTTGAGGTGTGGACCCATGTGAACCTCATGACGTTCAGCTAGGCTGAGTGTAAGTTCCCGCATCTGGGTGGGGGCAATCCCTGGTGCCAGTACAGACTGGGGCATGAATGGATTGAGAGCAGCTTTGCAGAGAAGGACTCGGGGATATGGGTGGATGAAAAATTGGACATGAGCCGGCAATGCGTGCTTGCAGCCCAGAAAGCCAACCGTATCCCAGTCTTCATAAAAAGAAGCATGGTCAGCAGGTTGAGGGAGGTGATTCTCCCCCTCTGTTATGCTCTGCTGAGACCCTACCTGGAGTACTATGTCCAGCTCTGGGGTCCTCAGTACAAGGAAGACATGGGCCTGTTGGAGCGGGCCATGAAAATGGTTAGAGGGCTGTAACACGTCTTCAGTGAAGAAGGGCTGAGAGAGTTGGGGTTCATTCTGGAGAAGAGAAGGCTCCGGGGAGACCTTATTGCAGCCTTTCAGTACTTAAAGGGAGCTTATAAGAACGACAGAAAGAGACTTTTTATGAAGGCCTGAAGTGACAGGACGAAGGACAATGGTTTTAAACTGAAAGAGGGTAGACTTAGAATGGGCATAAGTAAGAATTTTTTTACTCTGAGGGCAGTGAGACACTGGAACAGGTTGCTCAGAGAAGTTGTGGATACCCCATAATTGAAAGTGTTCACGGTCAGGTTGCACAGAGCTTTGAGCAACCTGATACAGTGAAAGATGTCCCTGCCCATGGCAGGAGGGTTGGAGCTAGATGGTCTTTGAAGGTCCCTTCCAACTCAAACCATTTTGTGATTCTGTCATTCATCTGAGGAGCTTAGAAGAGTTGGGAAGAAGTTGGAATTTCTTTGTTTTCACTGAAATGTTGAGTAGGGACTCCTTCACAGAAACATTATGTTGATCAGTTGAACTCTTGTCATGTTAAGGGTCTTTTCTAACCTAAATGATACTATGAGCAACTGCTGTTGATTGCTGTGTTTTGTTTTGTTTTCCGAAATCCTTTCCCTCTGCGTTGCATGTCTTCTGCAAGGCCATACATTTCCCACTTTCAGAATTGTCAATCTGTAATAATTCTGTGACAGG